TTGTCCCGATTATACGAAAAACCTATTCAACAAGAATCTGTTCATCAGAATGTGGTACTGGTCTGGACTTTCTCTCATACAGTTTGGGATTGTATTGTTGGCAATACTTCTTGTGATCGCATTTATATTCTTCTTTCTTTTGGCACTTGTCGTCATAAAAGACATTCAATTAATCAAAACTAACTTTTATAAATCGGAATAAATATTGAAACGTGTTTCATTAAAATTGTCAAAACATCAAAATATCTAAAATGAATTTTATTTATAATTATTTAATAAAAGTCAAAATTATAGAATTCTTAATAATGAACTAAATATTAATTTTATATCAAAACTATTCGTTACAAATGAAATGTTCATCGGTTTTAATCTATCGCTTAATTTGTATAAAATAAGTAAATATATTATATGTCAAGTTCTTTGTGTGTCAATATGTCTGGCATTCCTCATCTGTTCGATCATATCTATACTCTTAATGCGGTACTTCTTGGCCAACACCTCATCGACGGCAGTGCCCGTCCCTAACGCATACATTTGACTCAAATTATTACACGACTGGACGTTATCTAAATCGCATCCTTTGATCCCATACTTCAACGCTTTCGGCAAATCCTTTTCGCAGCCGTTTTTGCCGAAGAGATAAAACGAATGCAAATAAAAACAACACTCGGCGGCGATCGCGCCGTTTCCGGTCAGTTCGCAGCCCTTCTCCAGACTCTTCACCGACCTCTTGATGTCGGGCTCAACGGTTCCCGTGTACTGCGGATCGGCGCCCGACAGCAGTTGTCCCGTATAAAAGCAGCCCTCGTTATCATTCAGATCGCATCCGCGGCTCAAATACTCGACCGCTTTCTTCGCGTCTTTCGCACAGCCTTTCGATTCAAGTACTGCGGATCGGCGCCCGACAGCAGTTGTCCCGTATAAAAGCAGCCCTCGTTATCATTCAGATCGCATCCGCGGCTCAAATACTCGACCGCTTTCTTCGCGTCTTTCGCACAGCCTTTCGATTCAATCGACAAAAAAGTTTAAAGTTTTATTCAAATCATTTGACGGCAAACTTATGGATGATTTGCTGTAATACCGGTTCCGTTAAGAAGATTGACACCAAATTGAGTACAACTTCTGGCGAACCCATTGTTATCGCAATTGTCTTTGAATACTTTGGTTGAACGGATCAAATCGTCCTCTATTTTAGACATATATTCGCCCAAAAGATGACAACCTTTACAAGAGATGATATAAGAGTGGTTAGTGGATGGAAATGGTGTGGAAGTGCTAGAGTGACAAACCCTCGCCATTCTTCTCGTAATAACAGTTGAATCTGTACTCAATTCCCAGATTCCGGAAGAATTGCTCCAATTCTGAGACATTCTTAAAGATTTCACTCATTTTTCGCTTCAAATTGTTGTCTACTTTTCAAAACACATTACAATTCATTCATATATTATAAGCATTATTACAGTTATTGGATTGCATTCAAAACATATGTTAAGTATATTTAACTAATTGTTTTAGTGATTAAAGTTTTGCTGAAATAAACTTATCGTTGATTTAAAGCCATATTTGACACAAATGTTAAAATTAATGATTTATTTGTCGATAAAAGAGAAGTGAATTATCGGTGAATTGAATGACATTTTATATGAAAACAAATGTTTGTTTTGGTTTGAGATATGGTATGAGAAATGCTTTCAAACTTTGAACACATGATTGATATTATGATGACATGAGTGAAGAAGTGGACACAACTCCTGCCGCCGATCAAGTGGTCAGTTATGTAGACAATGATATTGTTTGGTATAAAATCGATTCATTGGTCTTGAGATCGTTGGTCACCAAAAGAGTGAAGAACTCGTTAAATGGTTTCAACAAAGAGTTGAAAACTTGTATTACATTTGAAGACAAAGGCGTTAATTGTTTGGTCAGTATTTGCGACCAAAACAGCGATAAAGTGATTGAAATTAAAATGAAATTCAATGAATTGGTGACCAAAAGCCGAAGACTGCGGCCATTCACTCATCTCATAACAGTTCCCTTCAAGTGTCACCATTTGGTCCAAGAGTTCACGCGATTCAAAGACAATGTCCTTAAAGACATCCACTCGAGTGGATCTAACGACAGACGAATCGATGAAAATGTGTTTCAAAAGCCATTTAAACTTCATTTGACTTTTTGTGTTTTGGTTTTATTAAATCAAAACGAAATACTTTTAGCAAAACAACTGCTGAGACAATGTATGGACCAAATTGTTAGACCAGTTGTCGGCGACCAACCATTGATGGTATCACTCGATGGGTTGGCAGTAATGAAAGGCCACCCGAACAGCGCTCACGTGGTCTACGCTCAGGTCTCGGACCAATCAAATCGATTTCAATCAATCGCCGACCAAATTGTGGATAAATTTGTCAAATCAGGTCTTCTGGAAGAGAGTCACGAAAATAAAGTGAAACTTCACATAACTTTTATGAACTCATTGTTCAGACAAAGATATTTGATTAAAAACAGTGATCCAAAGATTGCTTCCAAAAGACGGATCAAAAGGGAGAGCTTTGACGCCAAAGACATTATTGAGTCCTATAAGTCACACCAATTCGGCCACTGTTTGGTCGAAAGTATTCAATTAAACGAAATCAAGTCCACCACTAATGATGGTTACTATGGATTAGTGGATGCAATTCGTTTGAATGATAGCAATGATGGTCTCAATTAATATCAAATACAATTACTTTATTAATTTGTTGGCAAAAGTGATTTACATTTGTGTTTAGAATTAATTAAATGATTTTAAATATTAAGACATAAGAAAAATAACAATAAATGGACACAAAAACGTTGAAATACAACTCTATTATCTAATGTTCAGGTAATCTGATTCAGATTAAAGTGTAATTAATAATAGTTTATTGTTTGAAAAAATATCCAAATGTTATGTCCAAAGGGTATGCTTCGGTCAGAGGGGTGTCGTCGCTATTGCAGACTCTGTGAATAAGTTGTGATAATGAATGACTGGAACATAGGCTGCAGTCACTAAACGACCTGTTTTTGAGAAATAAACAAATATTAATATAAATTATGCCGTAATTGAATTGAGACAAAGATTGGTCAGACCTGCAAACCATCGGCCGTGAAGGGCCGTCACCGAAGCGGATGCCGAGGAAATGGTGGGACACTTGACATAAACATCTCCTTTGGAGGCCTTATCGACAAACACGTGAAGAGCGCCGCCGTGTTTACGACATTCTTCGATGACATCATTGCGGATCTCTTCAAACCAGAGGGGATTGGCTTTGGTTTCATCGTTGTTGGGGTCAAACATGTTGTTTAACATAAAACATTGGGTGGCAATTGTGGCGGCGCTTCCGTTACTAGACGTCGTGGTCGGTGCTGTCGTTACTGCCGGTGCGGCCGCCGCTTCCCGACTGATCTGAAGCGCCGTAACGGCCGCCTGAGGCAACTGAATGCCAGTGCCTTCCGCTAGTTTGGCCATGAGTTGCAGTCTTCCAGTGGTTCCCAAATCGATGCCAGTCCTGTCCAACTCATCGGTGTCGAGCATAGAGCTCATCTGCATCATCTCTTGCCTCTCCGTCACGTGATTCACTTTCATGGGTCGACCCGCGAGTTCAAAGCCGTTGAGCTGTTCCAACGCCTTCTTCGCGTCCTCCGCGTCGTGGAAAGCGATAAAACCGTAACCTTTTGAGCGATTCGTCTCCATATCCCTCATGAGCTCTATTTTGTCTATTCGTCCGAAAGGCTCGAAAATTCCTCTCAACATGTCTTCAGTTATATTGAAGTGAAGGGAACCGACGTATAGTCGCATCGGTCCGGCAAAACCCCTTTGAATACTAGTAGAAGTAGTGGCCATTCGGTTCTTCTCCGCCTGAGTGGGCTGTATAATGATGGGAACGCCGCACAACTTCTGACCCGATATGGCCAGAGCTAAAGGAACCGAAGAGATGTCATAGAATTCTATATAAGAGATGCCTTTATGTCTTCGCGTTTTGTTATCCATAATGAGCCGAACTTCTCTCACTCTTCCGACCGCTGAAAAGAATTCCTCCAAATCTCTGACTCTAACCCTAGCGGCCAATTGCATACAAAACACTGTCCTTTGATCCCTTTCCTCGGGAGGCAACTCTTCGTAACGCATTGGACTTCGAGATCGCGACCGATTGCGGCGTCCATTTCCCCACCGCTCCCAACTCCCACTCCTGCGTCTCCGGTCTCTACTCTTGGATCGGCTTCTTCTGCGGCGCTCTCGGTCTCGACTCCGACTCTTTCGATGACGATCTCGAGGCCGTTCGCCCTCTTTCTCTCTTCGACTCTCCCTATCCTTCTCTTTATCCTTATCTCTATCCCTCTCTTTATCCCTTTCTTTATCCTTTTCTCTATCTTTAGTGTCTTTAGTCCTATCTTTGTCTCGACTTCGACTCCTCTTCCTCTCCTTGTCTCGAGATTTCTCTGATTTGCGATCTCTTTCTCGACTTCGACTCCTTTTTCGTCGCCTAAAAACCAAATCTCATTAATAAATAATTTGCAATACATTTGTGAAACAATACCTGTCTTTGTCTTTACTCTCTTTCTTCTCTTTGTCAGACCCATTGACGGCCAATGCATTGCTTGACTCCTAATATGACATCAATTTGAAACCAAACGTTTGTGTGATTTTAGGGAATGATTAATGCGTTTTTGTGGAGGAATTTGGGGAAAAAGTAAAAAACATACGTTTAGTTAATGTCTTTGATTGAAGTTAAAGCAGAGATCGTGTGATAATTTGTTGCTTATATTAATTTATAATTCATATAATCTTTTGTTTACCACAATAACAACACTTGAGGCATGAATTCAATTCAATTGCAATGTTATCGAAAGTCTAGAAAAAAATGAGAATTTCCTAACATTTGCCTTAAATTTCAATTTTAATTTCAACGCAAACAACAACTCGTCTTTTGATTCAGTGCTTCAAATTAGCCCTCATTTTCACACTTTCGCTGATATAAGAAAATACAGTAATTATGGTTAAAATGAAATGAAAACCAATTTCAAGCAGTGAATCAAATGCCTTCAAACAGCCATTTCTCAGCGGAAACTCATTCAAACACATACACAACAAGACATGACTGCTAAATGACAAGACTATCCATTCATACACTCAATCACTCGACTCGGGACTGGAAAAGCAACGATTCATACAACAAATACAAACACTCATTCTTTCGGTCAGACATTCAATGAGTGGTATTTGAGTGACAGTTGTTTGTCATGTGGTCTCTGTCCGGGATTTGTGCCTCTTTTGCCAAAAAGCCATANGGTATTTGAGTGACAGTTGTTTGTCATGTGGTCTCTGTCCGGGATTTGTGCCTCTTTTGCCAAAAAGCCATATAAGCCCCTGAGGTATGATAAGGAATACAAACGCTTTAGCATTCATTGCATTATTATTACAGTTTATAACTATTATACACATGTAATCATTATTTCGTTTTGTATTTTCCAAAAACACTTATCATTTAATTATTTGTAATCGCTTTAAATAATCACTCATTTTATCAAATCAAATCCATTCACATCTCATTGAATGCATTGTATTTCCTTAATAAATAATTTCTATCAAATTGCTATCAAATAAATCTAATTATTGTAAATATTAATTAACAGTTATTTCTATACAGTTAAGCATTCATTGTATTCAATGGTTAAGTGAATGAATCCATTAATTGGTGTCTAAAAGGAGTGCTTTAAAGACAATTATAACCAAATGTATGACGAATTGCATCAAACAATTCACTTCTTGTGGCACTTATTGTCGATTCAAGTGATCATTGAAACCAATTTTAACACTGATTTCAAATGAATTGCTCCCAAAAAACACATACAAACCATTCATTTGGTGCACAAATTAAGTGATATTCAGTTAACATATTCTTTGGTTAATGTTAACAAAGATTTTGGTTTCAAGTAATCAACAAATAAAATGTGATTTAAATTTCAATAAATGATTAAAAAAGTTAATAATAATTGAATTGTGAAAGTGTTTGAAAACAAAACAATAGTAAAAAGAGTGATAAAAACCTTATGATTGTATGGTTTGATGGCCTCCTCCAGCATCGCCTCTACGTCCAGGTCTTCAGCCATTGTCTCAAACAACAGATGTGTATCTAATTTGGGATCAAAATTGTTAATTGAGTTGTGATTTAACCGACGATTCAGTTAACGATTGATTCAAACATTCATTTATGAAAACTTTAAATCGTTTTATAAACAAAGCTATGCTTTAAATGGCGTCCAAAACCGCACATCAATTACGGCTCAATTCAACTCTATTTTCGGCAATTTATAGATTTAATTAATGTTTTAGTTAATAATTAAAACATATATTAAATTGTTATTTAGAAATACTTTGTTTAAAAATATTTAATTAAGTTATAAATAGTTTATAATTTGTTTATACTTTATTTATAACCAATTAAATAGTAATTTCACTGACAATCAAAAGTTACGTTAGTTTTGGACATTAATTTGAATGCAAAATGTGTTCATTTGTTGTGATAAATGATAATCACATGAATTGATTGCTATTATTATTGACAGCAATAGTGGTGAAGACATCGTTGTTGTAGTTGTGGTCATCGGTGGTGATAATGGCTAGCGATCATCAATTGGTGGACGCCTTGCCGTACATTGATATGGGTTTCGAAGAGCCGGGAGTGAGAGAAGCGGTTCTGGAGATGGTATCGGAAGAGACGCGAAGATACAAAGCGACCAAAAACTATTTGGACAACTTGTCTCAACTCAACCTCAAGGACTTCGAGACGGATCTAATGCGGACAGAGTTGGAGAGACTCCATAACCGGCAGCCGATGGACATGTTGTCGATGAAGAGGTACGAACTGCCGGGTCCTCCGGCGGGAAAGATGACCGACTTGTCCGCGTGGAACGAATCCGTGGCCAACTCGATGGCACAATTGCAACACC